TTGGAGTTTGAATTCACTTATCATCTCATTTAGTGGCAAAAGTGAGTGACAGGCAGAGAGAGCACTGAACCACTGTGCAGCCCAGACATACGTGCATGTTCAAATATGCTAAAATACAAGTTTTGGGGACATTTATTCTCCTGTAAAGATACTTTGTGTGTACTGTAAATACTTGTTTTTCAGTGAACTCCCACTGGTGTATCATAGCTTGGCACTTTGCCATTATTGCATTTCTCCATGTTGTGCTTTGGGCTGCAGTAAGAGACATAGTGGGCATTTTAAAGTTTGGAAGGACTTTAATAGACAATTATTTCTCATTGTTGGAAAGCAACTCAGTAAAGTTACTCAAATACTCAATACTTAAGTTAAGTACATTTTTAAGGTATTTCTACGTTTCCTGAGTCTTTCCATGATATGCTTCTTCATACTTCTACTCTAAATTGGAAGAATATATTGTACTTTTTACTAAGATTAGCTACTAGTTACTTTGCAGGTTGATATTATAAATACATTTAAAAAAAATACTAATGGATTATGACGTTATTTTATGGATTACGATGGTAGAATTACTGATTTGGGATAATTCTGAAAATGGACATGGATTTTAATTGTATTTCTACACTGTGGTATTACTACTTTTACTGAAGTTCAAAGAGTAATCTTCCACCTCTGATCTTTCTTAACTTAGCTGCACACTTTAAGTCAAAGTCAAAGTCAGCTTTATTGTCAAAATGTCTACATGTGTTATACATACAGAAGTCTTGAAATACCGTTTCTCGCAGTCCCACGGTGTGACATATATACATAAAACAAGATACAAAAAGGGCCTAGATAAACGGGGTATAAGACTAAGTAATAGTAGTAATAAGTACTAGTTAATAATACATTTAAAAAAAAACACAATCCACAGAACATGAATTGACATTAATGCAAGTATTCTTTAGTGCAAATGAGAAAATGATGTTTAAAGTACAGTTTCAGTGCAGTAGCAGCGGAGATGGGTAGAAAAGTGACTGGTGCTGGATGAGAGAAGGTTGTGTGTGGGGGGGGTTAAAGTCCAGGTCCATTTGGGGCAGGGGGGAAAGGTGGGAGGCAGGGTGGAGAGGTCAGGGGAGAGATGTCAGAGGAAGGGAGGGAGGGGAGAGAGTTCAGCATCCTGACCGCCTGGTGGAAGAAGCTGTTCCTCAGCCTGGTGGAGCTCGAGCGGAGGCTGAGGAACCGACTTCCAAGTCTACTTGTTGCGTTAAAAAAAAAGGACTTTCTTTAAAACCTTAAGTATACTTCAAAGTGGAATCATGCATGGAGAGCTGCAGACACCACAGACTCTGGTCCTAGTGTACTTAACAGCAGATCCAGAAGGAACCGATTTGTATTTCTCCTTCACATGATGCTAACGGGACGCTATGTTGCTCTTCCAGACACATGTCTTCGCCTTCCTCTCCGGGCCCAGAGGCAGATAAAGAGTTCCCCCTCTTCACTGGAGCTCGGCGGGCACCATTAGAGGGGCTAAGTTGACTGAGGCCCATTGAGCTGGATAGGATCATAAATCCACTGTGAAAGAGGAAGGGAGGTTAGGAAGGAGGGATGTAGCCGCCTCGGGGACACTCAGGATGCTTTTATTAGCGGCTGTTCTCCCTCACTAGTCTCTCTGTTGAACAGCAGCATCAACATGCATGAAGGAATGACTGAAAATGAACTACAGTGTTCAGGAAGGACCATGTCGATGAGGTGTAGCTGATTGATTTGTGTCTTATGTAGAAGAGGTCAACATCCTTTAGCAACATGGGCACTTTCTGAAACACTTGGTAGTGGGATTGATTTTGGTGATGGTGATGAATAATATGTCATTAACTAGCGTGTGTTTGTTTGGCCTCACGTACTGTATGTGTGTGAGGACTCGGAGCAGGAGGGAGTGCTGGTTAAACACAAGGTTGGCAGAGTTTCATGAAATCTGACGGAGCGCTGCTCTGAGGCTTTCCATAACTCTCTATGTAATCATCTGCCCTGAGGACGAGCTGCTTTACATATGAGCACCACGAGCCTAACAAAGTATATGACGTTACATCCTAAAACTACAAATACTTTGAAAAACAATTCAATTAAAGAAATCCCATTTTCAAAGCAGAGAGAGAGCGATTGAATTCATTCCTTCTTTGCTTTGATTTATTGGAAAGGTCTGATTATCTTCTTCTAATGAATGAAATAAAACACTCAGATTTTAATTGATTTGTCTTGGCTTGAACTCAAACGTATAATCCTGCTGTAATTATAATAAAATCTGCTTGCTGCCAGATCCGTTGCCATCTGTTCTTTTTGACTTAATATCTTGTTTTCTTCCTTCCCTCCTCCCTTCTTGTCGGCAGGGTTTTGAGGACACAGTCTCTTGAATGGTATTATAACAACGTGAAGAGTCGCTTCAAGAGGTTCGGCAGCGCCAAGGTTCTGAAGACTCTGTACAGGAAGCACATCATCGAGAGAGGGGCGCTCTCCGATCTGCCCGGTAACTCGCTCACTTTCTAATCAAATCTTTGTTACACTGCCAAGCCTTTGCTGTTTATTTTGTATATTTTAATCAATCTCATTTGCCTCATTCTGATTGCAGAGCAGCCTTGTGTCACGTTTTCATAAATGCTGGTTTGAGGCTTCACGTGGACATTTGGAGGAAACACCGTCACTTGATTGCTCATTATTGTGTTGAATGATCACTCATTGTGCTTCTCACTGGCATGTAGACACAAAGCTTTTCAAACACACGCATCCAGGGTTAGGCACTTTTATTTACCCGTGTATATTTGATGTGGGGAAACCCCCTTTTACTCCACGGCTGCAGATTGATTTTGTAAAAGCTCTTGTGTTTGAACGGGAGTCGGTGATAGTGACGGGCTCCTTCTCGTCCTGCATGGTAATCCCCGCGGGGGCTCTCAGGCCACTTTGCGTCCTCTGTGAGTTGTTCCTGTGCCGCCGCGCAGCTTTGATCCTGCTCCAGATAACATTGTTTTGACCCGGCTGCAACATGATCGGTCTGCTTCTGTCGCGGGATACGAGGCATTATTTTAAAAAAAAAATACATGGGATTAAAAAGATGCAGAGGGGGATAAATCAGGCCAGACTTTGAGCAGGAGTGGATCAGGTTAGAATGAGGGCATGTTGAGGGACACAATGGACGTTTATTTCATCTGCAATGTTTACGTTTGTTGGCCTGTTTAAAGACAAGAAGAACCACCAGTCAAACAATGCATTGAAATATAACATGCTGCCTGTTATTATTATAATCATTTCCTTTCGCAGACAGCACGTCTAGCCAGGATCAAATAGCCAGATTTAGCTCGCTGGGAATCTGAAAATATGTTGGTCAGAAAGAGGCTTTAGTCTAATAACATGATTCGTTGGTTCACATCCGTATTGTCCCGTGAGAGGGATTTGGAAAACATGGAAACACTACAAGGGGGCAGACCTTTCCATTATTAAAATATTGTGTGTGTCCGAGTGTCCGCCCTGTGATTCAGAACCGCTCCAACATATTTCTGGGCTTTTGAAAGGTTTAATGCTTCGGTTGTTTTTGAAAGCCAAACTGTGTGTATTAGTTATATCCTGCAATAAGGAAGACGAAACTAAAGGGATATAATAGCTTAGTTTATTGACTTTACTAACTTGATGGTAGCTTCATCTCAGGTGTTTGAGTGGATACAAATCTCTCTTTACTCCATCAATCATCCATATTCCTGATGTCCTCTTGTCTCCTCTCCTCACCTGTCCTCCTGTCCTTTCCTTTCCTTTCTTGTACTCTCTTCTCCTTCCTCAATTATTTTTCCTTCCCTTTTCTTATTCCTTTCATTTCGTTGCATTTAATTTAATTTCCTTATTTATCTCTCCTCTCCTCTCCTCTCCTCTCCTCTCCTCTCCTCTCCTCTCCTCTCCTCTCTCCTCCTCTCCTCTCCTCTCCTCTCCTCTCCTCTCCTCTCTCCTCTCCTCTCCTCTCCTCTCCTCTCCTCTCCTCTCCTCTCTCCTCCTCTCTCCTCCTCTCCTCTCCTCTCTCCTCCTCTCTCCTCCTCTCTCCTCCTCTCCTCTCTCCTCCTCTCCTCTCTCTCCTCTCCTCTCCTCTCCTCCTCTCCTCCTCTCCTCTCCTCTTCCTCTCCTCTCCTCTCCTCTCCTCTCCTCTCCTCTCTCGTCCTCTCCTCTCCTCTCCTCTCCTCTCCTCGTCCTCTCTCCTCTCCTCTCCTCTCCTCTCCTCTCCTCTCCTCTCCTCTCCTCCTCCTCTCCTCTCTCTCCTCTCTCCTCCTCTCCTCTCCTCCTCTCCTCCTCTCCCTGCTCCTCCTCTTCCTCCTCCTCTCCTCCTCTCCTCTCCTCTCTCTCCTCTCCTCTCCTCTCCTCTCCTCTCCTCTCCTCTCCTCCTGTCTCTTACATCACTGGATGGAGGAGGGAGGATTATTCTCTGCTGGTCTCTCTCGGCTCACATGAGCAGATTAAAACTCTTCCAATTCTCAAACGCTTGCATCGTAGTACCCGCTACCTGTGTGTGTGTGTGTGTGTGTGTGTGTGTGTGTGTGTGTGTGTGTGTGTGTGTGTGTGTGTGTGTGTGTGTGTGTGTGTGTGTGTGTGTGTGTGTGTGTGTGTGTGTGTGTGTGTGTGTGTGTGTGTGTGTGTGTGTGTGTGTGTGTGTGTGTGTGTGTGTGTGTGTGTGTGTGTGTGTGTGTGTGTGTGTGTGTGTGTGTGTGTGTGTGTGTGTGTGTGTGTGTGTGTGTGTGTGTGTGTGTGTGTGTGTGTGTGTGTGTGTGTGTGTGTGTGTGTGTGTGTGTGTGTGTGTGTGTGTGTGTGTGTGTGTGTGTGTGTGTGTGTGTGTGTGTGTGTGTGTGTGTGTGTGTGTGTGTGTGTGTGTGTGTGTGTGTGTGTGTGCCTATATCAGATTGAAATGAAAGCGATTGAGAAAATGTAAAAGACGCCGATATTGGAGCTGTCACAACATGATTGAATTTAAATGTATTTGGATGAAAATGCCCTTTTTAAAGCTCTTCTGTCAAGTGTTTCAACAAGCTTATAATGGCAACAGATTAGCGTGATTAGATCAGGAACGTCTCCTGCTTTTAAATGAACTGATAATGAGATTTCACTGAAGGAAGTGAATCAGCTGTAGATTGGGATACAAAATAAATGAGATAAAGATGTTGCTCATTAACAAACTAACGTTGCATCATCATCACTTAGTCGACTGAGCGCCAACACGCTGCTCTGCCAGGGTCTTAACACCTCATTCAGGAACAGCAGCCGCAGGAATGTCAAACATTTCCATATGTGGAATATAGGCGGCCTCTAATACGCGTGCTAGTAAAGTTCCGTTTTTTATTATCACCGAGGCGCCGATGCTTGTGAAATGAATTCTGTAGGCGTGTGAAGTGGCGGCTGATGTGACAGCAGTGAGGGAGATGTGACCGTTTTACATTCATCACGTTCCCCAGAGAGAGAGAGAGAGAGAGAGAGTGACCTTCAGACCGACAGGAAGACAACACAGAGACATTTGTACTTTCCTGTCAAACATCTGCGCTACCAGGCAGTGATGATGCGGCTGTGTTACTGATATCCTTCCACCGGGGGACTATGTGTCCGAGAGGAGAAAGAGATTCAACCAGAGTTGGAGGAAGAAGTAGCAACTGTATCATTCCTGCTGGTATATAAATGCTAACTCCTATACACAGTAGGTCTGAATACATACAGAAGAGGATGGGATGTTTTACAGCAACAGAGAGCATTGTGGGGGTTTGTCACCTCTCCAGTACACACTGGGTGTTTCTCAATCGCGAGTAAAGCTGCTTCCGAGCCACTATTTCAAGCATACCACGTCATCGAGTGCCGCCGAAGTACTGTTCCAATCTCCAGCATACTTGGAAATCTACCGAGCCCGGCGTACTCCGTTTGGAGAAATATCGAGGCTGCACATGAGTAGACTCCGCGGTCTTAAAATCCCCACAATGCTTTGCGCACGGACCAATTTCCCCAAATCTGTGGCGGAAGATGTAAGAGGCGGGGCCTCTCATATGACGCACACCTGCACACTTGCTAGCGTGTTCCACTCTTTGTTTTCCGAATACCAGGAAGTATTCTTGACTCGCTTCTGAAGCAAGATGCTCGGCAGACATGTGCTACCAAGCAAGCGTACTCGCGATTGAGAAACACCCAGAGTTTACTCTTTGTCTAATCGGGACTTGAACCAGCGACCCTTCGGTTCCCATGCCAAGATCTTGTACTAGCATAAGTAGAAATAATGTGCTATTACTTCAATACATTAGTGTAGAGATAGTAAGTCCTGCATTCAAAATCTTACTGAAGCATAAGTATAAAGCTTAAACATATACTTTTACTACTCAATATGACCCATTTCAAAATGATATGTGAAGGTGGAGTTAATTGGATGTCTTTATGTAGTGCTGTGTAGCTTAAAGTAATCATATCAGTAATCTGAATCTGCATAACTCAAGTTAATGTTTTGAAGTAAAAGCACATTATTTCCTTAGTGTCTGTGACCGTGGACTTAAGATGGAAAATATCTGGAAACCTATTGCACTTTCTTTAAAGCGGCTGAATTTCCCTTTTTCTTTTTAAATCTAATTTGAGTAGGTCATTAAGTGGACGGGCAGATGCCAGGCACTGATCCGAGGAACTATTCAATTAGTAATTAATGCCTTGGCTGCAGTATGGCATGAAGTGTTTACTCATGCATTAATGCTTCCTGAACACACTCAGCCTTTGGTGCACATGTCAACACACTAAATTAAGATTAGAAATTAGATTTGAAATTAGATTGCTGTGTGGTTGGGGTAAAAGGGTAGAGTAAATGAAGCTTATTTATAGAATTATAATAACATCACTGCACATGTCTGAACACATTCTTGGCGTTATTAGTATTGAATAAATAATTGTTTACAAGGAAGAAATCAACATGATGTCATTAAGTTAGATTAGGAGATTGATACGACTGTAATGTCTTTTAGGCTTTCCTACATTTCTGAAGCTACCACCAGCTGCTACTTTTCTTATCTTAGCACAAAGACTGTCTCCGTTGTTGAATCTTTACAAAATCAAATAATATAAGACCAACACATGGTCGTTTTCTGGGTGACAACACTTCAGGTTTTTACACTTTGGGATTCGTACTGATCAACAAACCAGGGATTTCCTCCGACCCATTCGAGCTCACAGTTTCCCCCTGGTTACTGTTTTCGTGCTTAACTAATCTTCATATTTTTGACAAGTTAGTGAATGTGTTTACTTCCTTAAAGAGTGTTATATTAGAAGACATTTCTGACTCACTGTACTCGTATGCTTAGATTTGGCTGTACACTTGATCCAGGAGGTATTATGTTTATTTCCCTCGTGATATATTGGCACCGAGACACCTTTTAATTTTAATAACAGCTCAGCTATTTAAAAATCTCCATCAGTGTGTATTTTTGTACATCACTGAAGTCTGGCTTCATGGTAAACCATCATAAAATCCTCCATGAAATT